ACAATGAAAAACAGATGAATGATAAAGAAAATGCAAGATATATAATATGACTTTTATTCAGCCATAAAAAAGAATGCAATCCTGTCATTTGCAGCAACATGGATGGAACTGTAGGTCGTTATGTTAAGTGAAATAAGCCAAACACAAAAAGACAAATATTGAATGTTCCCACTCATGTGGGAACTAAAAAAGTGGATCTCATAGAGAGTAGACTGGTGGCTACCAGAGGATAGGCAGGATGGGGGAGGGGTGATGAAGAAGGATTGATTAATAAGTATGATATACAGTTTGATAGAAGAAATAAGACCTAGTGTTTGATAGGTGAGTAGGGTGACTGTAGTTTATAATAATCTATTGTAAAATTTCAAAATAGCTAGAAGAGTATAACTTGAATGTTTCTAGCACAAAGAAAAGACAAATATTTAAAGTAATAGATATTCCAATTATACTGATTTGATCTTTAGAAATTATACGAATGTGTTAAATTATCACACGTACCCCAAAGATACGTACAACTATTATGCATCAATAAAAAATTATAATTAAAAAAGTGCTGACAAACTGTTAAAAAATAAAGTAAGTGCAAGGTGCTTTAGGATCACCTACACTGTGGGTAGGAGGTGGACAAAGAGGAGGTGCTTTTCTGAACCTCATCCTGATGGATGAGGAAGGAAATGGGGGTTGGCATTGATCCTGGCAGAGGAAATAGCCCAGGTAAAGGCTTGGAAGGGAGAAACTATATGGTCTGTTTGGCAATGGCAGGTTATCCCAAGTGACCAGGGGCCTGAATTTGAGGGGAAGGTGATGAAAGATGAGGGTGCACCTCATTTTACAGGTATGAAAAATGATATTCAGAGAGGTAAAGTGCTTTGCCTTAAGGTCACACTGCTAACAAGTGGTAGAGCTGGGATGGGAGCCATAGGCCTGGGTGCTGTGGAGAATCAAACTTCCATCCTGAGTTGAGGACTCAAACAAAGCCCAAGAAATAAGACCTACTCCTGGTGGTGGTTGGGGTTGTTGGTCTTGGGCCATCAAATCCTTCAGTAGGAGAGGCAAGATTGCGTCTAGTGCCCTCTAGGGGCAAAGGTGGTGGACAGCACCTAGTAGAAATCATCTTAGTGTAGCAGTCACCAACCTTTTTGGCACCAGGGACCGGTTTCATGGAAGGCAATTTTTCCATGGACCAGGGAAGGGGGATGGTTTGGGGATGATTCAGGAAAGCATTACATTTGTTGTACAGTCAGACCTCTCTGCTAATAATATCTGTATTTGCAGCTACTCCCAGCGCTAGCATCACTGCCTCAGCTACACCTCAGATCACCAGACATTAGATTCTCATAAGGAGCGCAACCTAAATCCCTCCCATACTCAGTTTACAGCCTGGTTCAGGCTCCTATGAGAATCTATTGGTCCTTGGCCTGGGGCTTGGGGACCACAGTCTTAGTGGGTCTCCTGTCACAAAGGAAGCACTATGGGGCATGGGCAACTGCTCCTACAGGATTACGGTCTGACAAATTAATATACAGGGTCACAGCTATAGAATATTAAGTATGAACTGTTTCTTGTACTCATGTTTTTCATATATTCAGGCTGGGGCCAACCCCAGGAACTTTTGTTGGAAACTTCAGCCTGCTGCCCACGTACTCTGGCAATAATTATATACAACCACAATAAGTAGCTATCACTTACTAAGCACCAAAGACTTTACATATGTCATCTAATTTAACTTTATAACCATGCAGCAAATCAGATAATCCTATTTCCATTTTACAGATGAGAAAAATTGAGGTTTTTATGAGATTTGTGACTTGAATAAGTTCATCCAGCCAGGAAAAGCTAATAACAATAGTTAACAAATATTTTATTCATAACATGTACTAGATTCCATGTTGTAACAGACCTTGTTGGTTGTCTACCAACAGCCATCCTATCCCTTCTCTGCTAACAGAATCCTAATTTTGTTCAGCTATCCATCCCTCAGGAGAAGGGATTCTATCTCCAGTATGACTGGCTGTGCTAAATAAACATGGTGATTCCATTCACTTTTGTCAGTGATTGCATTGAAGACAGGTTTGTTACCCAGCTCTGGCCACGGATGCGGGAGAGAGCATCAGTGAGGAGTTTCTGGGAAAGGTTTTCTCGCTCTTAGAAAGACACAAAAGAAAGAGATGACCCTTTTCTGTTGTTGCACATTGCAGTGTCTGGATGTGATGTCTGGAGCTGGGGCACCCATCTTCTGACCACTAGGGAAACCAGCCTAGGAAAGTCTACACACTGAGGTTGGAAGAGCATTAAGATAAAAAGAACCTGGGTCCTTGAGGAATTAACCAATCCTAAAGCTTCCCTACTTCTAGATTTCTTGTTATGTGAGAGAATACATTTTCCTTATTGTTTCAGCCATTCTGAGTTTTTAAACATTTAAATAGATTTAGGGCATACATGTGGTTTTGTTACATAGCTGAATTGCGTAGTGGAGAAGTCTAGGCTGTTAATATACCCATGACCTGAATAGTGTACACTGTACCAAATGAGTAACTTTTCATCCTGTGGCCCTCTCCCTCCCCCACCCCCATTCTGAGTTTTTGTTTATTGCTTGGAGCTGAAGACATTCTAGCTGATATGCATGTATTTTCTCATTTGTCACCAAAAATCAATAAGGACAGTGTTATTGTTCTTCTCCACATTAGAAAATGAAGGCCCAGAGAAGTTGGGTAATTTTTCCAAAAAGTCACAAAGATAGAAAATGGCATAATAGCATTTGAACCTAGTTCTGCTTAACTCCAGACTTCTTAACCACATCATAGTAAGCAAGACAATGAAAACTGAACCTGAATGAAAACTGAACCTGGTCTGGCTGGCTCCAAAGACCATGCTCTTTCTTCCACCTCTTCTAACTTCTGGGATGAAATTCCAAGAAACTTGAATCTATGATGTATGGTACTTAAAATATGATGACTCCCAGCCCTCCCATCCCCCCTGCCTCATGGGCATGAGGACGGACACCCACAGCATGCTGGGGATGTATCTGGTTGCAAGTGATACACCAGTTGGCTTGGCCTCAGTCCCCCTGTTACCAGCAGACTGGGCCTTTCTTGCTACTGGGGTTGAGAACATCTGGTGAAAAGGACAGGCTGGGCCCCAGTGGGACACAACTGGATTAACTCTGGTGCCTTTGTACATGAAGTTTCTCTCTTGGTACCACCTGGACAGTCCTAACCACTTTTCCAACTGCTCTAGTGGGAAATTACTTGGCATCATCCTCTGCCAGAGATGTCAGGAAGAGATTTTTATCATCAAATGCAGGATTGGACAAAACGACAATTAAGAGCCATTCCTTTGCTGGAGTTGATGATCACATAAGAGGTACCAGGAAAGTTCCCCCTGCTCCCTGAATCTACCAAAAAATATGGCAGGAAGGAGGAAAATAATCAATTCAAATGAATTTTTCTGAGCATCTTGCATCTACCAAGCCCTGCCTGGGACATGGTGATACAGATGAATAATACATGACCCCTGTTGTCAAAGCTCAGTCTAGCAAACAGACTAAGGCATGTGGCCATGTAATTAAAATAAAAAGTAGACTATACCCAGGGTTTAACAAGGAAAACGCTTGTGTGACAGGTCCCTCAAGCAAGAAGAGGTGACATGTGACTAAAGCCATTAGGGACATTGAGACATGGCTTGGGATGAGATTTGTTGAATAGGAGGCTTTGGATAGCTGGAAATGGGCAGGAAGGAAAGAAGAGAAGAAAGAAGGAAAGAAAGTGCCTTACTTGCAGAGAATGCCAAGGGTCATTCTGGCTGAAGCATCTGTTAATTATAGTGGGAGACAAGCCTAGCAAAAAGCATTTTGGTGTCATCCTGGGAAAGGCCCACCATGCTAGGGCAGCTTACTTGGTTTGAATTTGGCAGGAAATGAAGGCTTTTGATCAGAAACATGACATACTGAGCATTGCGCTCTAATGTACATTAATTCTGCAAGTACAAGCAGAATTGATATGGGGAGCAGGGAGATCAGTGTGAAGACTTAGGGAATCGCTTCTCCCTGACTGTATGGTGAAAGCACTATTTCTGAGACTAGCTGAGCCCAAGTGTCTGGCTTACTGCAGAAAGGCAGCTTCAGTGGCCTAGGAGGAAACTCACACCTCGCTCTGAGGTTCATGCTGGGCCAGGGGCTCACACATATCTGTAGAGTACACAGCAGAGGCGCTGACAGAACCAGAGGACTGGGATCAGTTACATGGGGAGAGGAGGTAAGACTGCCAGAGCTGAGCTGCAGAGAATCATCACTGAAGACAGGAGGCCCCCAAGGAACCCAACGCAGCCTCCTTTCACCAGCTGTGCAGAGCTCAGAAGCAGGAGTTCAAGGCTTTAAAAGGGCTGGAGGGTTTAGATGCTTGGAAATGCAGTGCAGTCCCAGGATGGGGGGTGGGGGGTGTCTGAAGGATCCAGTAACCCTCTTGCTGAGAAGCTAGGCCAGTTCTGCATGATTACAGGGAGGGATCAGTCTTTTGGCTTTAGATCTGAGAGTGGGGGGTTGTGCTGCATTTCCTTTGTGCTGTTACTGGCTGCACAGAACTCCTGCCATTAGCTGCCTTTGGCCCCCGACAAGCCCTTTTCTGTGTCCTCTTGATTTCTTTCTACTTGATTCATCACTTGTTTGAGACTCTGAGAGTCAGTGCTGGCCTCTCTTCGACAAGCTCTGGCCAGACATGTACATGTCTCCTACACTTTCTTTAAGACTAGCACACCCAACACATTTCTTCTTGACGGTCTGTGAGCACTGCAGAGTTTTATGAAAGTAAGGTGGCCCTGTGAAGTCATCATATAGCAAACCCTGCAGGTAACATAAACAAGTGAAGGGAAATGTGTTTCAGAGAAAATTGCAGTCTTCCAACAAATATACTTGGTTTCTTTATTTCCACAAAGAAACATGCTGTTGCCCATTTTCTGAAATGCCTGACTCTTGTGCTCTAACCTCCATCTCCCTTCTTTCACAGAAATACTGGTACTAAGAAATATTTCTCCTCTTAAAGAAAAACAAGAGTGCAAGTATGATGACAAAAGGGTGTGGTGGAGACCATGGAATTACAAAACACTTATGGCATTTAAGAAGGACAAACAACACTCAGCTCATGTGGGAATGAATGAGAGCTTCGTGTGGCCAGATCTGATTTTTCTACAGAAGCCAGAGCCGGAGATCCAGAATTATATGCAAAAATCTCCCAATTTTAAAACACTAGCAAACAAATTTAAAAATTACGTGGGGCAAACCAAGCACATCTCTGGGCCAAATCATCCTGATATTTTACCACTTCTGTCTTGTTACGGAGTTAGGTGTAAGCTCCTAAGCTTGGAACTTAAGTTATTCATGACCTGACACTTGCTCATTTCCACCCACTTCCCAGCTTTTACACCAACCCCACCACACCAACCCACCTGCAGCCCCCAGAGCCTGACCTCTCTTGTCTTCATACCTCTGCGTTGCTGGTCTCTGTCTGCAATGTACAGCCTCCCTTTCTCTGCCTTGGAGTCTCCTATGTGATTTCTTGTGACTCAGGTCAAACTTCACTTGCTTCTGACAGCTCCCCAACTCTTTGTAAGATTAGGTGCTCTTCATTCTTTCTATGTTCCCACATTACCTCTTGCCACATTGTCTTGGAATTGCTGGTTTCATTGTCTGTTGTTCACCAGCCTGAGAAATCCTTGAGGGCAAGACTTTCATAGTCTCTGATCTGGGAATCTATGGTAGGGGGATGACAGATATACCAAGAAAGTAAAAATAGTTTAATTAGAGTGGAAAGTGAAAATTCAAACAAGATACAAAGCTAGAATCCTGAACATTTCAAGTAATAGGCCTAAGAAGTGATATAGCAGATCATAAAGAGAAGTCGAGTCCAGGAGTCAAGAATCAGGATGATTAAAATAGGTTTGGAAGTGGAATGTGGTCAATGGTTTAAGATATAAGCTGTGGAAGAGGTAAGGGTGTCTATAGGGTTCTAAATGTGACAGGCCCAAAGATGGGTCTCACTGCCTTAATGTCTTAGGGCTGGGTTTCATTACCAGCTTGATAGTCTGATAAGTTTCTATTTTCCATTTCAGGGATTCATTCTCTGCAAACATCTACTGGGCATCTACTCTATGCCAGGTACTGTGAGACACAATAAATATAAAGAGGAGTCAGTGCTTGAGCTTATGGTCTGATGGAAGAAATGGACACATAAGTATATAATGACTAGAAAATGAAATAAACGCTACAACAGAGAGAAGCACAGGGGACTATAATGGCTCAGAGGAGGGGATCCTGATCCATTAAGGCTCCAAAATGGTAATTTACTTGAGGTCATACAGCTAGACAGGAGCAGAACTAGGATAAGAAGCCAGGACTGTTAGACTTAAAGGTCCAATCTTTTTCTACTGTAGAAAATTGGAAGAAATTGGAAGAAAATTGGAAGAAAATTGGAAGAAATGACTTTATAGTTATGGAGCAAAGTATGTGTATCAGCTTGGTTGAACTGCAACTGTATGGCTCTAGGTTAAAGCTGGTTAAGAGTTTTAGTTGCTTGAGATTTGGGAAGTGGGAGTGAATCAGCAGCCACTCTCTGAAGACCATGGGAGTTCATTACAGCAACAACAGCTGAGGAGGTGCCAGTAGGTTCCAGCTTGTCCTCACTCTCCTCAACTCCATATCCAGCTCTTCCCTACTGTTGACCCTGCCGAGCAATAGTAGCTCTAAGCCTACCACCATACATTTGACTGTGGACCCACAGACTTCCACAGATGTCTCCATCAGCTCCTCCTTTTCAGGCCCTTTCTGGCAGCCCCTTTCCGGGTGTGCTTGGCTTCTTCTGGTGTTGACTGGTTGGTGGCCCCATTGATCCCTGTCCCCCTCCACTTTCAGAGTGGCACTTCCCCAGCTATTCTCACAATTATATTAGTTCAAATTCCTATAATAAGTCCTTATAATAAAATCAAATTCCTATAATAAAGTGATTGAGTGAATAGAACAATGGATTAAGGTTAGAAGTCTAGCTTCACCAACATCTCCCTAACTCTAGTGCCCTGCATTTAGTAGTTCAGACAATATTTGTTGAGTTAGATTGAATTTTTAGGTTGCTTTCAGTTCTTCACTGCCACAAATATCACTGTGAAGAACAGCTTCTGGGTAAGTGCTTTTATTTGGAGGGGATTTTTTTTTTTTGCTTCTGTTTCTTTTCCTAAGATTTATTCAAGGGAGTAGAATCCTTTATGGCTCAGACTCTGAAGTTTTGACCCAAAACAATATCTGTTGTGTTGGCTGTATGTATTCTTTCTTTCCTGGGGCACAGTAAATTTTTCTCTGGCTTCAATTTACCTCTCACTCCCTCATTGTAAAAACAGAGAAAAACCTCATTCTTATGCATTCTCTCCAAACAAGTATTTTGCACTCTAGTCAGATCATCAAAAAAAGATGTATTGGGCTTCCGTTATGGGAATGTTCTTCTGGCCTGGCAAAGCTAGAAGTGGGAGAAACAAAGACATCTGGAAGTTCAGGCTCTGCTGACTTGGGCTGGATGGACAGCAATCAACTCTGAAACGCTTAATTGCAGGGAATTTCCTCCTTGCCACAGAGATCATGCACTTGCTGGGAGAAGACATGTTACAGGCTCACTTTGTCTCCTAGAAAGCTGGATTAAATATTATATTTCAATTAGACAACCATTTATGGAATGTCTTGTCCTAAACTAGTCCCTGTGCAAGTTGCTGTATGTAGATAGTGCCCTTGAGGTGTTTTCAGCCAAAGGAGAGGAAAACACAGTGAGCTATAGCACAAATCAGCATATAATAACTCCTAGAAAAGGGGCATAAGCAAGGTACTGTGGAACAGAGAAGGGGACAATTATATCTGATGAAAGAGTGGTGGACTGGGGGAAAGAAACCTAAGAGAGATGTTAAAGAATATATAGACAGAGCGATCCAACATTTATTAAGCACTGAGCTGGGTTTCGCAGAGGAAGGTGAATAAGGCTAACAGTTATTCACTGATAATCTATCCTGTGCTAGGATAATGTATCCTCATCCAGACTGAGCTAGATGCTTTATATACTTTATCACATTAATATTTCCAAAAACCCATCTGGAGGAAGCTGAGGCACAAAAAGGTGATGTAATTTGTTCAAGAACTTGAAAGTAATAGAACTGCATTCAAATATAGATCTTTCTGATTTCCAAGAACATTTCCTGCTCCCATTGTGCTTAAAGAATTATTTTCAATAGATAGTCAGATGGACTATGAAGAACGAGAAGGATCTTGACAACTTTGAAAGGCAAGGAGGTGGAAAAAGGGATGGGGTAAAGGCATTCCAGGATGAGGAAGAATGAGAGAGGTACAGCCACAGAGTAGGGTGTGATGGTGTGAGGCCTGTTTGAGGCATCTTAGGCAGTCTAGTGTGACTGTGGGAAGACATTTCCACATGCCCATACCACTGTCTTCTTAGATTCAATATGCCATTCATTAATTCAACACTGTTGGGGACTCAGAGCTCAAAAGGCCTCAGTCCTTGCTCACAAGGAGTCTCCAATTTAACAACTATGATCTAGTGAGATAACTGCCATCACCATTGATTGCCTTGTATGCTTTAGCACAGGATGTGTATGTGTAAGTGTGTGTGTGTGTGCACGTGTGCGCGAGCACATGCACATAATGATATAAGCATTATTTGGGCCATTTCCTTCCCACAATCATTTCTCAACACATATACTCCCTGGGCTCTCCATAAGCGTGAGTTCCTTTATTACCTCTGCCTTTAACAAGACTTGGATTTGAACTTCTGGCCTTGAAGCGATAAGTTTAAAGCCCATAGTATCTCAACAAGTGTCTTTTCTTTCTTTCTTTTTTTTTTTTTAACAAGTGTCTTTTCTTTCTTTCTTTTTTTTTTTTTTAACAAGTGTCTTTTCAATCCAAGAGAGACTTTAACTGGTCATCTACTAGCTCACTTAGAAAACAATGATCAACTCTAGGATTGCAAAGAAAAGATCTTAATTTGGAACTGACAAGAAAGCGGACACCTTCTACCATTTCTCTGCAGACTTCAAAACTGTTCAACACTTCTTGAAAGAGAATATGGTTCCAAGTCTTTCATTCAGCTGGCTGGAACAATTTTTAAAAAATGCATTTCATCTCTGGCAAATCACAGCAGAACGTCATAAACAGCTGGAAACTCTCTTAGGTGAAGACAAGTTGGATATTATGTTTGGATTTATAGCCCCCTGCCCCATGAAGCTGATGTCCATTTCCGACAGGGTTATTATTTCCATCTTTACAAAATATCTTGGATCTCACCTTGGATAATTGCTGATTATCATCAGCTCCTCACCTGAGGCATCTTAGCACTTGGGTGAACCTTAAAAAAAGTGCTCTTTTATTTTACAAAAATGAACTGGGGAAAACTCAATGTATGCGACTATATCTTTATTTTTATTTTCATTTGCAAGTCCCTTTGGTTTTCTAATGTGATCAACCCATTCATCAGTGTCAAATCACCATCAAGAGCACAGAGAGTATTTTTGCCACTTGGATTCTAACCTGGATCAAAAAGCAATAAATAACTTGTATTATTAAGTCTGGTTCTCTCTCATGAGGAACTTTGGTAATCATAAACTCAGAAACTCTTAGGGCATAGACAAGATCTCAGTAGTTTTTACCCAAGGGTGTACATCACAATCTTTTAAAATTTGGTAGTGCTTCCCAAGTTATTCTGACAAGTACTCCCAATTGAGGACCACTAAGAGTCTAACATTCCTCATTTTACTTTTTGAGGTCACCATTTTATATGTCCTTTTATGTCTTCATGCCTTTGTTTCTTTTATTTCCTCTGCCTTGATATACTTGATATCTCTTCTCACTTCTCTGCGTGGTAAAATCCTATTCACCTTATAAGGCCCAGCTTAAATGCTACCTCTATGATGAAGGTTCTTTCCCTTTCCCTTCCCTTCCTTTCCTTTCCGCCATCTCTCTCTCTCTCTCCTCTTTCTTTCCTTTCTTTCTTTCTTTCCTTCCTTTCCCTTCCCTTCCTTTCCTTTCTTTTCTTTCTTCCATCTCTCTCCTCTTTCTTTTCCTTCCTTCCTTCCTGTCTTCCTTCCTTCCTCCTCCTTCCTTCCTTCGTTCCTCCTTCCTTCTTCCTTCCTTCCTTCTTCCTTCTCTCTTTTTCTTCTTCTTTCTTCTTTCTTCTTCTTCTTCTCTCTTCTTCTTCTGTCTTCTTCTTCTTTTCTTCTCTTCTTCTCTTCTTCTTTCTCTTCTTTTTCTCTCTTTTTTTCCTTTCCTCTCCTCGATCCTTCCTCATCCTCTCAATCACCTTCCTTGCTCCTCTCCCTCCTCCCTACCTCGCCCCTTCCTCTCCTCTCCTCTCCTCTCCTCTCCTCTCCTCTCCTTTCTCACCAAGGCTGGAGTGCAGTGGCCTCATCATAGCTCACTGCAACCTCCAACTCCTGGAGTCAAGCAACCCTTCTGCTCAGCCTCCTGAGTAGCTGGGACAACAGGCACACACCACCACACCTGGCTAATTTTTCCATAT